AAAAATACCATGAAAGCACCCAGAGAATTTGAGTTTTCACTTATTAATAGAAAAATCCCCTCAGCTGAATGAGTTGATGAATGCTACAATCATAAACATGATTTCCATTAGAGAGATGAGTTCGATGCTTTTGGGACACTGAACCTCGACTGTTGCATGTTTCCTGACATGAAATCATTTCATCATCAGTGTCGTCACGTTCTAGTTTCTGACATATGTTAAATGTCATTTGAAAGGGTCCAAGGCTCAGGAGAACTGTGATTTCATGGGGAATAGGGATATGTAGTGACTTAATTTGTATACCCATTCATTTGTTCCATGTGTCAGACTATGTGTACAACTTGATGTTTGCATGAAAAACACTAAAATGACCTTTTTTAAAGTTGCTTTTTTTGTTGTTTGACTCAAAGAATACAGTTTACTTCACAGACAGGATGTCTTTCAGTCATTTTTTAATATATGTGTATGTGTGTGTGTGTGTGTGTAGGAGGGTCAAGAGCCAGTGGAATGCTACTCCATTACAAGCCAATGGGCTCTCAGGATGTCCAGCAGCTCCGCATGGAGGCAGCAGATGATAAGAAGGTGGCTTCATTATGGTTGTCTGGAATGCACAAGGTAAAAATAAGCAGCACACCTAAGACGGTCCATGCAGTGCAGATAGGTAACAGTTGCCCAGCCCACTTAAAGTGCCTAAAAATGGTTGGAGAGGAGTGAAAATGACTTATTATGCTGGAAATAAAGAATTGTGCTAGCATAAAATCAAGTCAGGGACACAAAAGAGTCCCTACAACAGACACTGCTTTATGTCCTTTATTCACACAGTGGTCCTTGCCATCACCAGTGTGTGAATGGGTGGATGACTAATGTGTAAAGCGCTTTGGGGTCCTTAGGGACTAGTAAAGCGCTATACAAATACAGGCTGTTTACCATCTAAATAATAAGTAAAACAATCAAAACAGAGTTTTGATTCATGCATCAAGCTGTAGTCCCACAGATAATCGCCTCAAATGTAAGCTTTTCAGAAGTGAAGTTTTGAATTTATTACTGAAAGCTGAATGTTTTGGTTTATCAGTCATGAAGAGAAGTTTCTGCATCTAATATTCAGCTATGAGTTTAATTAGTTACACATTCTTCTACATTGTTGGGTTGCAGAGAATAATATGGCTCTGAATAAGCACCTCATCATGTTTTTTTATTGTTTTTCTGTTCATGGTGTCATTAAAATGCTTCTCATTAATATGGTCAGTCAGCCTTATTGCAAACATTTGATAAAAACATGGTGGCGTGCTAAATAACAGATCAAAAGGCAGAACAAAGGACAGCTCGGGCTGATTGGAGCAAAGTCTGGAAAGGTAGATGTAGCATCATAACCTGTCCTGTGGCGCCCCCATCAGGCCAGAGCTTACACTTTTATTTATTTATTTTACATGTTTTTACATTTTATTTTATTTTTCGGCTAAAAAAGCCATCAGTCTCACACAGCACTGTAGCTGAATGTGGTCTGTAGCGTGCTTGTTGAGACAAAGTAATAAGAAATCAAGAGCGTTTTTATTTCCAAAACTATGAAACTCTAACTCTAGCTGCTTTGACTACGATGACCTGGATGACTGAGGACCTTCACAGACATGTGAAACTCTAACTTTTCTCTGCCTGTTCTTTCCAACAGGCAGCCAAACTGCTGTACGAAGCTCGAGACCAGTGAGGACCAGAAGCGAAGCTCCAGGCAGCACACACCCAAGTGTTTTGTACCCATCTCAGTCGGGTTTGGTGCCCTTTGGATATTATTAACGCCACTTCCTCTTCTGCTTATCTGTCCGATTCCTCATTGGTTCTTGATACCAGTTCCATTCATGGTAATTTTTGCAAATGTTTGTATGAAAAATGACTTTTATTACCTCTATAACCAGTACTTTGTACATAATGTTTACCACAAGTACGCTGCTTGGACCTATTTTTAAATTTTAATTTTCTTTTAAAAGAAATTATTTGACGTTGACTTCATTTAATCCTCTTTTGTGTTAATTCATAAATCAGGGCATGCAGCATTAATGTTTCGACTCAAAAAATATAACAAGAAGAAGAAGGTTTGCTCTTTTTTGCCAATTTAAAATTATTTATAGAATTCATTAGATTTTAATTTTATTTTTGAAAACATTAAACATGTCACAAATGAGGCATTGCACCTTTTTTATAAACCATCTTCCATGGTTGAATTATGGTGACACTATAACTTTGTTATGCTGCTACAAGAGAAGTGATGAAGTGTGTCTTTGCAGGTTTACTAGGTCACCTTAACAGAGCCAAGCAGGGACTTGGTCATTGAACTGTCCACAGTAGCCAGATCTTCCACACAGAGCGTCATCACAAGTAGTGTGAAGGACAAATCCACCCTGAAATCCTTTATCGCAGACAGAAAAGCAGCTTTCTGTGATCTTACTGGCACTTCAGGATTCAGCTGTGCTTCATTTAATCTCATAATAAGAAAAGGTGTGAACAAACACAGTTGTTCCTGAAATGCCAATAACATCACAGACTTGCATCCAGTTTATATGAAAGTAACATTACATGGTGGATTTTTCCTTCAGTTCCGTTTAAATGTTGAAAGTTTAGGTGAAATCTTCTTTTTCAGTTATTAACTGCTTCGAATATTCACAGTCGTACATCTTTAGGCCTTTTTGTCTAAAAAC